GTTTGGAGTCGCGGGCGCGGCGCGCCGTCCCTCCCCGCGCGGGCCCTCGGAGGAGCGTGTGCCGCCGCCGCTGCCAGGGCAGGACAAAGGCTCATTAACACGTGATGGGACCGCGCTTCATAAATGGGGCCGCGGCGAGAGGCAGCCAGAGAGAGTGCGAGCGGAGAGGGAGACGGGGACCGCGCGACCGGGCCGCGGCGACGGGCGCCCGGGCTGGCCAGGCGGGCCGAGCGCGAGGACCCCGAGAAGAGCCCCGGGAAGCTCGCCGGCGGCCGGGGCGGAGGGGGCGCCAGTCCGCGTCGCTGTCGCGGGTGGGCGCTGGAGGCAGGGGACGCCGGCGCGCGGACCGACTGACTTACTGACCGAGCGCCGGAGGCACACCGCGCTCCACCCCACCCCTCCGCACCCCGCCTCGCCTGCGTCCCGGCGCCGGCGCCGCCTCCCCTCGGCCCCTCCGCTGCTCGCTCTTCCTCCCCTTCCTTCTCTACTTCTCCTCTGCCTCCGCCTCTTCTTGCCTCCCGCGGCGCCAGCGCTTTCCCGCGGCCCGGGCGGGGCGCCTCGGCTCCCCGCCGAGCTCTCCTAGAGTCTGGGGGGACGTTTCGTTCTAGCGGAGAACCAGCCCTCGAGCTGGGCCAGAGGTGACAAGGGAGCTTCTGCCCCGAGGACCGGGGGATGCGAAGGGTAAGACCCGGCAGAGTTGCATTTGGAAATACTTTTTCTGCCTCCCGCCCCCTCGGGTACTGACCAACGTGGTCCCTAAGTGTCCTTCGTGGAGTTCTTATTCAGGTTAAACGAATCGTGCGTCGATGTTTACTTAGCTGTGTCGCCGCAGCCTGTTAACTGTTGTCTGTGCTACTTCTGGAGGTTTCTACCATTTACTATTTATTGAATGTGTGTGCACCTGGCTCTCTGTAGGCACTGATGTCTGTTTGTAGAAAATGTGTAATTGTGCATGTTTGAAAAACAGGCGCCTGAGTTGATCCTTCATGTCTGTAAACCATATCAGCAAGTAAGGCTTCCTAGAGAAATACATCAGTCTCCACCTCCAACCTAGAAACCGTTTAAAATAAATATTAAATGTCATTTAAATGTATGTCAAATAATAAACTTTTGATATAGAGAAAGATAGCTGCAGACACCGGTTCTCTTAGAGGGAAAACAAATGTGCATAGTATTTAATACCTACATTAGAATGCTGATAGAACCTTTTAACTCAAAGCTAGCCATTAGGTGAATAAAGTTGATGTGAGGTTTGAAAAAGACGTCTCTTGCTAAGGCTCACGAATCATAAACGGATCACTATGGTATGCAAATATTTGCTGTGATAGACATGAAAAGCTGCCGTTTGGTCATTTGAAAGTTTAAAAGCAACATGCATGTTTCTGATTTTAATAGCTCACTTATCTCTTAAAGGTTTTAAATTGAACGGATGAGGAAAAAATTTAGCAGTCTATTAATCACATTGTCTCTCATTTTTCTTTTATTTTCTTCCAAATAAGAGTTAATCTTGGCTTTGTTTGTTTCTTGGCACAGTAAGCCTTCTTGGGCATTTAATCCAATAAGAGATTAGAGCAGATTTACTGGCTTTCAAGGTGTTGAAAGATGCCTCTTAGGGTCACAGAACTTCTCATTTTTATTAACACGTTAATATCTTTTGAACAATGGTGGAAATGCAGTTTCTTAGAAGAAACTCAGGACGTTGAGTATCTGGGGTCACTCCTGACATCAATCTATTTTGCAGAATATCGAAAAGCTCAAAGCAGCCAACCTTTAAGGTTCCCACAGGACTTTATCTGATTTAAAGTGTTGCTTTTCTAATCCCACCCTCCTGTCAGTTTGCAAGGGAAGATATACTGATTGATTTTTCTCTGTCCCCCCACCTATATTTCTTTCCCCTCCCCCATGCTCTAACTCAGTTAAGAGCAATTTTACAAAAATAAAAGACCATATTAGCGTCTTAAATGAGACAGATAATTTTCTGATTTTAACCGTACATGAACAGAACACATACATCTCCAAGATGTTAAACGGTGCGTATTGAAGGCAGTCATTTGTAGGCACAATAGCACTCACTATAGTTGGAGGAGAGGCTTGATGCTGGCCATGGTGTTGAAAAACTAATGCATTTGAGGTTATCAGGAGAAGTTACTGTAAACAGACTCTTTGTTTCAAAGATGTCTCCCACTCCAGGCCAGGAGCACCCTTGGCTGAGGTATGTATCAAGTCTAATGAGAAGAGATCTCATTGTGTTCCCAAGCCCACATGAGGGTGAAATGATGCCACACGGTGGAAATGCTCAGTTCTGACCTTTCAAAAATAAAATTACTATGCTTGCATACTCATTGTTAGGAAGACAAATTAGACATTCATCTCTCTGAATTTTAATAGCATCAATATTTATGTGTATAAATGAGCGATGTGATTCGAACCTTAATTAAGTCATGGGTGATGTTTAATTTAGTATATAAAGTTTTAAATTCTGGTGAAAATCAGATCTCACATTGAAGTAGTACTTGGCTTTGTTTGTAATCCACTGTTTTCTGTCTTTTTCTGTTACCCTTTTCCCAGTGGACTGTGTTCCTCTCCGTCTTGCCTGTGAGATTGCTCTTCTCTAATAAGCATAGCTGCAGGATCAGTGTGTTCTTTTTGGCATTTCAAAATGTTAAAATAGTGAAATTGTTAAATGTTACCGAGACGAAGCTGCTGGGAATGAAATCTTCCAAAAGAACCACTATATTTGTGGAATATTACATTCTATTCCGAAAGCAAACTCTTTGAATCGGTTTACCTATTTTCTCAAGAAGGACCCAGCTCCATTGATTCTGTTGATAAGTGTTTAGTATGCAGTGTCAGCTTATTAATTACTAAGCAAAGCCTGAGAAACTCTTTCAAAACAATCATATGACATTCTTCTTTGCTTTGACTCAGAATTAACATTAACCACGAGGAAATTTAGACAGGTTTCTTGGTTGTCTTGCATATTCGTTTTTGAAATTAACATTGGAATTGGAAAACTTTGCTGCGCAAGAATAAATTATTGTGACACAGAACTTACAATAGCACTTTAGAGTTCACCACACTTATCAAATGTTTCTTCCCAGAAAACACTTGCCTAATAAGGAAAGAGATTATTTCCCATAACTAGCTATCCAGGAATGCTGCAAGAAAAAAAAAGTAAACAGAAAGGAACAAATTGAATTCAGAAATACCTAACAACACATAATTAGTAAAATAAGATTTGGTTGTAGCTTCTTGAATTTGGTTAGCAAGATGGAGCCTGTTCTTTAGGTTGTTGCCTGTTATTCTTGGGGTAATTATGTTAGCTCAGTTGCATAAAGCACACAGATGAGAGCTTGCATTCCCTGCTAAAAAGGATGCCATGTCTCCCCCAGTGTAAGTCTGTCTTTTCTATTTTTGTATTCATCATTTTCTAATTGGACTGACAAATAGAGTGAAACCAGCCTTTGGGTTTAAATTATTTATAATTTTGCTTTTGACTTTGAACCTGGACCCAACATTGTTTGAAAAACTGTACTAGGGCCAGGTACACATATTGCATATCTGTATTTCTAGAAATAGCCAGTTCTGTTTATTTTTTTTTTTCTTATTGACTAGAAGACTGAGAGAGAATATAAAGAATAGGAGATTGAAAATAACATATATTTTACATAGGCAAAAATATTAACTTAATGTTCCTCCTACCCCAGAATCTCCAGATCTTTTCTAATCCTGTTCTAAAAATGTTAACTTTGTATTGTAACTGCATGAGTGCTGTTTTGTGCACAGAGGCGCAACACTTTGCTACTGAGTTGCTTTTTAATTCTTTGATAACTACTTAATTCACGTAATTGTATATTCTTTGATGAGACTGGATTTTATCTTATAAAGTAGATCAACTCATATTTCTCCAGAATATTTTCTGGACTCAAAGAAACTATAAATATCATTCAGAGTGTTTCCCCTATCAAATTACATGATGGATAATTCAAAATAACTGAATATATAAACACACACGAACAAAGTTTTCATAGGTACAGATCATGACTAAAGTAGAAATTTAAATACATTGCCTTTTCACATATTTGAACATATCATTCTGATTTTAAGTAAATGCTATGAATTTGGGAACATGTCCAAGGCCAGAATATACAGATGGATACTGAAAGCTCAAGGCAAAAAGGAAATATTCACCTTGAATCAAAACAAGGCTGTCCTTGTTTTCCAGGATAGGTGGAAACCCATTCCAGTCCCATGTGTTGTAAGATTCTTGCAGATATGCCAGGATGAAATCACCACACTGGATTAGAATTTTATCACCAACATTGATGGGTTTAAGACAGCTCTTAACAATCTTGCTAATTTTCGTTAGTTTTGAAAATTAGGACTGCAGGAATTGGAAGAAAATGTAGATTATTACTATACTACAGAATGCATTATAAGATATATTTATTTTATTCATAATATAATGCTATCACAAGGACGTTAAAACTAGAACTTTGAGGGATGTGGAGGGTTGTTTTTAGCAATCTCTTCATCTACTCTTGCTACTACTCTTCAGTTGATGTTAGATGAACTTCTGCAGCATACTTCCCCACATGGATAATAGGTATGTTTATGACATATCAAGAGTAAGTCAAAACCATTCGATAAAGTAACCAGTGTGGTGTGATTACCTCTAGTTCTTAACATAAAACATTTATTAAAATATTTCCTGGATCATATTTCTTCACTGAATAGGGTGCCTCATAGTGAAATATAGGACATTCCATTATAGTAGTTTTTCTAAGACAAGTAGTTGTGCGTACATATACATTACTGATCTAGTTTTATTAATTTTTTCATATATTTATTTATTATACAGATTACCAATGAACAATGTTTGGATAGTCTCCAATTCACTTGAAGATGTTAATTTAATAATTTAACGACCATGGAATTCTTGAGGTTTGTAGTTGAGTTTCTGTGGGTTTTTGAGGGAAGAATTGTTTATTTTCCAAAACTGAGCAAATGGGCCTGCAGATTCATCGCGGTTGTTCTGGGAATACTATGAATTCTATTTTAGCCTTAGCTGGAAAATTTTTCACACCTGCATTTCAGTGAAGCTCTCAAAGTTTGGCTGTCTTTGTTTTGTTTTGTTTTGTTTTTGAGTGAGTTGAGACTGGGTTAGATTAGAATCATTGTTTTGTAGCCAATTTTTTTTTTAACCCATTATGCTACTACATTATATTCTGTGAGTTTTTTAGTAAGTTTCCTAAAGTAGATTTTACTTTTTTTGAATGCAGGAAGGGATCTAAGTTTCATTTTTCTAACCCATGTGGCTAATAATTTTTCCCTAAGAGTGCAACATTGTATTATTTAATGTCTTATTTTTACATTCTTAGTTGGCTTCTTGATTGTTCAATTTCAGTTGTTAGAGGTTTGGTATCTTACGCTTAATTCTGTACTACCATTATCAAGTCTGAATCACATTTTTAAAAATCTTTTTAACTTCAGGAGATAAAGTGCAGTATAGTTTCCTAAATTTGATAATGTAATATCTTTTTTTTTTCCTACTAGCAAATTCCATGCTATGGCTTTTTAAAGAAAAGCAGAGGCACTTTTCAAAGATGTGCCAGGCAATCTGTTGTGGTGATTTAATATACTGACAAATGCTTTCACAAACTGCATATGTCTATAGTAGA